TCAATCTCATTGTCTTAAATCTCTCCTTCCTTCCTACTGAGCTTGTCATGGATACATTAAGGGCTGGTACTTGATATCATGAATATTAACCGGAACTGATGCCAGGAGAAGGTTCCTCAGACATGGACATGGCTCACTCACTTTTATTTCCTTGGCCTTCCCTGCAATTGCTATATCTGTGTCACAAAACCCCATGAGACCACCAGGAGCCTGTTTCTGATGTAAACACACAACTTTGTATTTTCAGATTCCAACCTGGACCATCACCCTATGATCCTATGCAGCAGATGGAGGGAAATGTGGCAGCAGCAGCTATGAAACTATTGGGTTAAACTTTGGCACAGGGCACAACCTGTTGACAGGATGTCTGGATATCTGCAATGGCTGTAATCTGTGGACAGGATGTCTTGCAGGAGCATCTGGATCTTGTTAAACTTTACTGCCCTGTTTTTTAATTAGCTCCTTCTAGGGTATCTGTTGGAATTGTCATGGCACATTCCTGAGGTTCTTCCTGGAGCTGAGCACAGCCCCAGATCATCAAGAAGTCTAAGATGGTGGCCCTTTTCTAAGATAGATTCTGTAAGTCAAGTCTAGGCCTACATGTTGCGTTCACACAATCATGCAAAGAACAGTTCTTGCTTTCAGTCATTAATGCTGGACTGAGTTCACCTTCTAGATTTCTTAATTGAAAACTTTTGTGGATGTTGATGCTGTTTCCATAGTAGATTCCTAAAGCCATCCTCTCCATCTGTTTTGAAACTGAAAAGATCTATGGACTCAGCAACCTTCTGGGTTTTTGTTGTTGTTGTTGTTTGTTTGTTTAATTTTGCTTATTTGTTTTTATCAACAAACTATTTGATCACTAATTTGGATGTGTCAAAATCTGTGGTGATTCCCTTCTTCCACATAGTGATCTCCTCTTTGTAGGAGTGGGATGACAAGAAAGAGGAAGACAGTTACCTGTACCAATCTTTTGATCATCATTGCTTCTTTTTTTACCCCTTGTTAGTTCTGGCTTCTCAGTTGATATTTCTTCCTAGCAACTAGAGTTGCAAGGCTCCATTTCTTTGGATTTAACTGGTTTTCAAACATCTTCTTATTTTCATTTTTATGCTACTGTATACCAAGACAAAATCCAAGAACACACTGTATTTTTCCTTCAGGATGTAACAAGAATTCTTTGTAATTTCCTTTCTTCATGAACTAAACCATGTTTTCTGAATATACTGGGCGACATTTCTATCCACCTGTGGCTTGGCTTATTTGGAGGTGCTTCTTGTTCATCTCTTCTCTTTAGTTATTTAGTAAAGTGTTCATGCAATGTTGTTCCCAAGATCCAAAGTGATGCTATTTATCAATATGAAGTGTTCACCATGTGTTGGCTGTGTAATGTGAGAGGCTACAGATATTAAGATACCATTCTGTACTGAAAAATAGCATGAAATCCCTGTTCCTTTTTGTTGCTGTTAACAAGAACACAACAAAGCTCTTGTTCGTGAGGCACTTGGTCAATCAGTGTCTCCATCAAAAGAGTCCATTTAGGCATTAACTTAGGTCTCCAAAATGGTGGGAAAGGATGACTTCCATCACACACACACACACACACAAAAATCTCCTTAGCTTCCCAGCTTGCCAAGGTTCTCAGAAATCTTCCTGGAAAGAGACAATGAACCCTTATTCTGCCTCAGTTATATGCAGTCACTCCAAAATTCATTTTTGCACATAGCTCTTCGGTTGGCCTTCACTATACACATTTCCATGCTCTTTTTTGGATACAAATATAATCTTAATTTTCTCTTCTGTTAATGTTCATTTAATCAATATAAAATTAACTCCTTTGATGCTTATCGTTAGTTGTGATTTCATGTCTGTTTCATCAAATAGTTGAACAGAAAGAACTGCTTGTTGGTGCATTTAATTAAAAAACACTTCTGCATTCAATCATTTTAAAGCATTTATGCATTTGTGGTGATCTTCATTTTGTGAATTGAAATAGTGATTGATGATACCTAACTCTTGATCCACCCCAGTAGTCTGTACTGTGTATTTCTATTGGGAAAAAAAAGACCATTAATCATCATCATCACTATTGAAAATACATACTTATTCCTGTTATTTTGACCTTGTCTTATTTAGGCGATTCCTCTTCTGCATTAAAAAGTTATTTATGCAATGAGTGTTTAAGTGTGAATTCATACATTGCATACCATGTGTCAGGAGCAACTATCATGCAGTGGGGTCTCTCCAACCTCATTTTTAGGAGGGGTCTTTGTTGTTGTATCTACCACAGCATATAGTAATATGTTCCTAGATAATTTTCTCATCATTGCATTTCAAATTTCCTCATATTTTTCTCTTTGGCTACTTTTTGCATACATTGTTTGTTCTGTATAGTCAGTATTTAAATTGCAATAAATGGAAGGGAGCATACACACACACACACACACACACACACACACACACACACACACGCACAAATGTACACAATGCATTCCACACATTTTTTCTATTGATATGACTAAATCTTTCCTGTATCTGGATTATGTACACAACATGATTTTCAAGCTTAGAATTGATGTCTTCATGCATGCTATGTGTAGAAATAACCTATATTTAACTTCAATACACAGTTATTTCTTATTGTTACATAAGAAGATAAATAGTTTTAACCTGTTGATCCTGCAAACTAAGGAAATTTAAAATATTAGAAATGAGCATTATTACATATAAGCAATGGACAAATGAGTGAAATGATAAATTTCTGTCTTGAGAGGAGACTCACAGAGAGAGACAGCACAAATACAAAAAGAATGGGGTTTCTATCCAGAGCTATTACTATCAAATATTAGTAAGGAACATTAACTTTAAGGTTCACATGCATGCAACCACCATTTAAAAGTCATTAAATGTTATTCACTGTAAGTGATTTTGGGTACAAAAACAAGTAGCTAAAGCATGCAAATTAGAGATGTAAAAGACAAAGAAAGGATTAATAATTGAATAAAAACAAGAGGATGTAAGAAGACTAAACAAGATAGCAATTAACAAGGAAAATATGTAGATTTTCTTCATGAGAGTAGGTGAGAATGTTATATTGTGTGTGCATGTGTATGAGTTGTTTTTTGTAACTAAATATGCCAATCCAAAAAAAGAAAAAGAAAGAAAAACTGGTAAACTGGCAAATTTGGATTTTGGAGACTAAAAAAGTAGGGGAAAGGAGAAGGCAGCTCTACATGAAGATCTCATGAAAGGAAAGAAAGTGTGTGCAATAGAATAAATGCAATACCCTAAGACCATGGGGAAATGACCAGAAAAATAATATGCTTTTCAGAATTGAAACTTCTTTTGATTTCCATGTTTTTCTCTGTGACAGATTCTAAGATAAACTCTCCCCCTGAAGGAGACAAGTTTGGTTGAAGTTCAGATTTCTTCCTTAGCTTAAAGCAATGATTCTCAACCTGTGGGTTGAGGAGCAGCATATCACATATTTCCATTATCGTTCCTAATAGTAGCAAAGGGAGAGTTAGAGAGTAAAAAACAAAGATTTGTGGTTGGGGGTCACCATAGTGTGAGGAACTCTTAAAGGCCTGCAGGATTAGGAAGGCTGAGAACAACTGTCTTAAAGGCTCATGTCAGAGTTCCAGGGCTCATTGTGTGTTGTGAAGTCAGTGATTCCCTTGCTCACAGTGCCATCTACAGTCATACAAAATGAAGGTGCGAAAGGAAAGGTCATGAAAGTTCTGAAAAGAAAGCTGGTGGTTAGAGAACAAATTACTGTGTTCAGTTCAGTTGAACTCTTATTTCAATATTGAAATGTAACAAATAATTGCCAAAGTAGACGCATATTTAATGCTTCCTTGTAAAGAAATAAGGAATTCTGGTCCATGGCATATTTTCCTGCCACTTCCTATGCATATTATTGCTGCAGATAGTAAAAGTGAATACTATAACACTGTTTGTTATTTTATTTACAAACAGAGAGGAACAAGAATATATTGACATATGCACACACATTTTTGACATTTGGCTCATAAATTTATTCAGTTGACCTTGTGTTGTGATATTTAATCTTGACTGATTGTATGTGGTATATTTCCATAAACATTTTTTTCTACAGTTGATTCTATGGTTCACAAGCCTAGAAGAATCCCTTAAGTTAAATCTCTCATGTACATTAGTAGTGTAATAAATTTGGTAGAGTGGTCTAAGTATTTGACAAAGTCTCCAGTTGGTGGTCTGTCCCCTGAGCCCCTGCTGAAATCAATTTCACTGAATACCTATAGCCCAGGGAAGCACCATTCTTTTCAAAGTGAGTGGTAGATTTGTTGGGCTGCAGAGTTCCTGTGCCTGGTGGCTAGGACCTAAAGACCAACTGAAGTTTCACTCTTTTGTTCTCTATTGTGACTGCTTGATGTGAAAAAGTGTGGTGATCCTCTCCCTCTGTTTTCCTTTGTCTATGCTTAAGTCTATTTAATCCAGCTGTTGGAAAGTTTAACTAAGGTCTAATACACAGCCAATTATTTTACCATGTAGCCCACAGTGAAAATGTTTTCTATTTCCTCTTACTGTCAGTTTTGATCCTTCCTCATTAAATTTTTCTTAATTTTAGATTGATTAGTTTTTTCTCCAAAAAATTTGGTAGTATTTTGTTCAAAAAGTACATTTAATTTATGTAGAATTATTAACATGCTGAAATAAAGTTCTAGCCTTCCTCTTCATTATTATAAAGTGGGGTTTCTCCGTATTGTAATAATCTGAAGCATTTAACCATAATAAGTGATGTCATTGATATATTTGGAAGCTGGTGTATTGCATTTGTCCTTTTGGTTTTCTAATGGTTATCTATTAATTTGAATTTTCCAGCAAAGTAATTTAAACATGAGATTTGTTAATATAATGTCAAATATTCTTCACATTGTTGAGCATCTATTATAAAATAACATTTAAAAATTATCCAGAGACAGGACCAGAGGCAGAGACAAGCAGATGCAGGTAGGCCCATGGCGGCTGCCCGCAGAGGTAGATGGGCCCAGCGGTGGCCTGCAGAGGTAGTCGGGCAAGGCTGCGGCAGCCGACAGGGACATTCAGGCACTGTGGCAGCCAGAAGAGACATACAGGCCCGGTGGCGGCCCGCAGAGGTAGATGGGACCAGCGGCAGTGACAAGCAGAGGTAGGTAGGCCCGCGGAAGCAGCCAGCAGAGACATACAGGCCTAGCGATGGCCCACAGAGGCAGACAGACCAAAGGGCAGCTGACAGGGACATATAGGCCAGGCGGCAGACACAGAGGTAGATAGGCCCGGAGACGGAGACAAGCAGACACAGCTTTGAACAGGGACGCCTCTAACCCCAACACCCGGGGAAGAAGCTATCTCCATGGGATGGAACCAGAATGAATCTGAACACTCTGTCTGAGGACAAACCAGGGCCCAGCTGCTGATCCTGTGAAACCCAACAACTTGGAGGTTTTGGTGAGACTACCCCGCTCAGTTGAAACCCATCTGGGAGAGGATTCAGATGCCTACAGTTTGAAGTCTGAAGAAACAAGATCAGCTGAGGAGTTGACAAATGAAAAAAACATGACCTGGGAACACAGAAGAAGGCGCTACCCAG